TGTCAGGTGCTCTCTCCATGAACTTTTACTGGAACAGGGATTTTAGACTTAAAAATGTAGTGCTATGATGGTGTCATGGCAATACAGCAAAGCAAACGTGAATTAGGATCGGGTTGTTCATAGGTATGTCCACAGCTACATGAAAGGCTCAAAATATGTAACAAGTATTTGGAAAAACCTGAATTCAGGGCACTTCATGGTTATAACTGAATTTTGATGTGTTTTACCCAGTTTAACTGAGCGCATCTATTTCATTCCCATGAAGCAGCCAGCATATCTTTATATCTTCATCTTTTAACAACTACCACAACCTTACTTTAATTTAGGCAGAAACCACTAGAGTAAGAAACTGCAAAAAAGCTAATACTATACTGAATAGTGAAATAATGATTGCTTGACCTCAGTTGTATCCTCCTTGAATCAAATCCTGTGTTTATTTGCTGATGTAAGGACTTCTAGATTTGGCCCTCAAATGCCAATACCTCTTTTGTGCCCACCACAACTATGAAGCCTCACTGACTACAACACAAATCAAATGGGTAAAGGATACTTACTCATTTCCAAAAACATAAGAAGTCATAGGTTTCCACTAGATATCCATGAGCTTTCTATACCTATGACTTGTGGATATCCTTTGCAGCCACTCCCTCTAACACTCTTGTTCTTTTGTACTTCAGTGATACTTCTGCGTGGGTGTTCTTGCTTGACAACACCATCAAGATCTCATGCTCTTTCTCTGGTGCTTTAGAATAGAAATCCAGGTGTAAAGATGCATTTGTGTGATGACTTCAAATAAATCAGTAGTTTCAACGATCTCAAAAAAATCTGAGATGTAGACTTGTTTTTGGATGGCCTTTTTAATTGGAAAGGTTTTGGCCAAGCTCAGCAGAGGGAATATTTGGCAGTAGAGTGTAGGTATGAGAAAAAGGAGCAGATGAGGCTACAATTCACATGTTGTGCATTGACTGTTGCAAGAAAATGCATGGGCAACAAAATTCTGTGCAGAGCTTTAGCATCTACCTTATATGTGCTGGGTCTTGGAAGCTGGCAGGGTATTGCTCTGGTAGAAGATACAAGAGGAAAGTGCTGAAGTTGGAGGAATTAAAATTCTATAATTAGAAATGGTCTGTTAAAATTACATGCCACATGGCAAGCCTACAAAACTCAGCATGTGGAGAGCATATTGGCAATGATTTACAATTAACCACCACATTGCAAATCACTCCTTAGCTGTTTTCTATTATGAAATTTTGAGACTTGTAAAATGCATTTGTGCTACTTTATTTCCTTTTGAAATGGTAATTGCTACTGCTGAGGGGCAGTACTTAGTGCAGAAAATGAAGTGTGCAGCACAGGGAGGAACTTGTTTCTGAGGAACTGCTGAGGAATTGTAATGATCTGAAAAAAGTGCTTTCTTGAAACACATACACACAAAAGAGCTTCATTTATGAAACCCCAAATAAATAACAAAATAAAATAAAACACAGTCTCTTTTTATACAAGGGCCAGAGCTTACTAGTTTATTGCTGACTGCACTTTTTCCCCATCAAAGAGGGAACAGTGGATTGACACTGAGTAAAACCCATAAGTCAGTGGCTTGAGGGAAATGCAGATATATGAAAATGTGATGGGAGTGCCCTAAAGTAATGGGTTTTGAGCCAGTGTGTTTGAAAATTATCAAGTGTTCTTCTAACTACTAGCCCCTTTTAGATACCTGGTACAGCACTGGCAGTGGTACTGCCCTGGGGACCTTGATAAAGTTTGGCTTTTGTGTCTGAGGAACAGAGGCTGTGCAGTCTAAGTGGAGAGAGCAGGTATGTTCTAATTAAATGATGGTAAGTTCCCCCCTTACAGCTTCCACCTTGATGGTGATTTGTAAAAAGGACAGTGTTTATGAGTAGCTTTTATGGAGGGTTATATTAAGGAAAGCAAGGAGTGAGGCTTCCTTGGTCTTAAATTTGCTAACTTGTGACAATAAGCTTGATCTCTCAGGTAATAAAGTTGGCAATCTAGCTCAGGTCCTCAGTTTAAAGTTATTATCTTTGAAAGCCAAGTGATTGACTGTAATTTTGCTCATAGTGCTTTGTTGATAGCAGAAATAAAAACATCTACAGCACTTTTCATCAGAAGTGTCAGAGTGCTTTCCACACCTTAATCAACTAATTTTTATGAAATGATGGCATGGTTTTTCCCTGTCTCTTCTGTGGGAGCTGAGAGGATCAGGACAGTAATCAGAAAGTATACAGGAATGGTGCAGTAGCAAAGTCTCATAATGCCCGGGTCTAGAAGTGTGGTTTCCCAGAATTATTTTACAGTTTTTACAGAGGATTCAGACACAGTTTAGTTGTCCTTTCATAAATACATTTGAACAGATGTTGTGTCTAAGAGTGCAACAGTCTGAGTCAGTGCTTCCAAGATGGATCACCTTGACAGTTAGGAAAAGAGACAGTTGTATTGGATCCACTTGTCTAAAAAAGTAACTCACTGCTGAACAGGGATGTGCAAAAGCAGTGCACAGCAACTGAAGCCAGGAATGACTCAGGATGGGTGATGTAGAAATACCATCCGTGTCCATGTCCACTGCCATGGAGTGATAATGTTAAAAAAGGGTTCAGCTGTAGTTGAAACTTGCAAGGGATGTTGAATTGCTAGTCTGGGATAAACCAGGAAAATGTGGGATTGACTGCAGCTGGATTCAGACGGTGATTTTGTGGCAGCAAGCATAGACCAGGCTGAGGTTCTCAGTGCCACCTTTGCCTCACTCTGTCCTAACAAGATCTCCTGGGCTCTGTGCATTGCATCAGGGTTCAAGGAAGAGGAGAGTTATGAGCACTGGGTGTAAGTTGGAAAAAAAAAAAAAAGACTTCGTAGGAGAACTAAGGAAAAACTTTCTCCCCATGAAGATTGTCAGGCAGTGGTACTGGCTGCACACGAAGTTTTGCAGTTTCCATTTTTGGATGCTGGACAAAGCCCTGAGAAACCTGGTTTGAGCAGGGGTTTGAACTGGTGACTCCTTAAGATTCTTTCCAGTCTGGATTATTTTGTGATTTTAAGATTTGTAGCTCTGGCAATTCTAGATATTTTAAAACTTCTGCTTAGCTCACCCAGCCTTGTCCATCTAAATAGAAGAGTTTCTTCAAGGAATTATTTTTACGCATGAAAATAATTTGAAAAGATGCTGCTTCAAAGTAAATGCTTTTGATGCAGAAATTGCCTACAAGTCATGTAGTGGCACAGCACTGGCACTGCTGCTGCAGCTCCTGGACTAGCAGCAGCTTTGTATGGAACGTGTGCCGTGCACAGCCCAGTGGGGCAGGCGCCTGCTCCTGGAAGCAATCTGGCTTTTCACTGAGGATCCAGTGGGGCCAGAGCTGAGTGAAACTGAGACAAAACAGGGGCATTACAGGGAGATTTCAGAATCAGCAGCCAGAGATGCTGTAATTCAGGTCTAGTGTCTCCCTGTTTGTCAAAGAGAATCTGTGATACATCCATGGGAGTATGTTCTGCAGCTGTTAGGAATTGTGAAATGGGAAAAAGGACTGACTGTAGAATTCTTGTTGCTGTTGTAGTGATACCGCTCCTGCTCTTAGCCTAAGTGCAAAGAGGAAAGTAAAGAAGGTGGTGGGAGACTCTGGGGGTGCTTGCACCAACTTCAAAATGACAAATTTTGACATAGGAAAGGGAAATTTGATTTAAAGAAGGATGTATTAAAACTAGTTTACAAACATAGGCAAACATGAATGCAATCATTCCAACATAGCCAGGTTTTAACCTAGTTGAAGACTGCCTGGAAATGCACAGCGTCCCAGTCCAGCTGCTGATTTGCAAGCAGTACATTTAATAAGCATCCTGCTACCTGTTGTCCAGCAGTGAAGAAACGCTCTGCTTTGCCTTGAGATCATGTACAGCTGGGGTTTTTATTTTCAAGGAAAGATAAAAGTGGCTAATGATGTAAAAACTACTACTGTGGGAAAATGGGGACAATGGCTAGAATTTAAGGGTCGTTAGAGACCTCTAATGATTTCAGTGGGACTTAGGCACTCAGTACCTTTAAAACAGTGCTAATCACATAACAAAGGAGACACTAATTTAGCAGTTCTCTCAGGAACAGAAAACTGTCAATGTACTTATAGCTTTATAAACAAGCATCCTGTGTGGTAAATGAAGTAATTTCCAGTAAAATTGTCTATCTTGCAGAGCATAAAATGGAAAGGGAATCAGTCATTTTCTCAATTGCACCAATATAAATCTTGGTATAAATTACCAAGAGTAATGCAACTAAACTAACTTTTGCTAATGCAATTAGGGAGTACACTGATATCTGAGATAGGTTAGTGACTTTCCATGAAGTGCAAGAGTCCATTCCATGGATAGAATTTGAGTTTTCCCAGTTCCTTTCTTGAATAAGTCAATAATTTCTCCCTTCTACTGTAGACTTCTTAACCATAAATGCAAACAGGAGAATCAGAATCCTTCTGATTCTTACAAACATTTCTTCTTAGTGTTAAGAAATGGCAGCATCTTTAAAATTATAGCTAAAGCTGTAAGCAGATTCCACAACATGCAGACACAAATGGCCTAGCACAGGAAAAGGAGCTCTTTCCCATGTGTGTATAAATTGAGGCAGTTCAGTTTGCAGCTACTTAAATACCAAAGAGCCGTCATTTGTTTTTCAAGACTTCAAGACAGAAGCATAATGTACAGGCACACTTTGCTTTTCTTTTGATATTCTCTCTCTCTTTTTTTTTTTTTTTTTTTTTTTTTTTTCTGTGAAAAGCAGAATAACAATCTTAGGAATAAGGTTCTTGTTTTACTGTCAAGACCATTGTGCTTTTTTAGGTTTATCTGTAATCAGCAGACTAGAAACAGAGTGCACAAGTGATTTTACCTACACTACTTATAAAAGATCTCTGAGAACACAGTAGTGGTTCTGACTCCTGGTATTTTGAAAATTATTATGAAAACAAGACATGACTATTTCTCTCAGACCACATACTCACTTGTTGCCCAGTAACCAGAAGGATGGAGCCTTCTTTCCCATGTACCACTTGCCGGTAAATGTGATCCAGAATTAAGAGTTCGCTCCAGCAGTTCTGAAGCAACTTCATTTGGTCATCAACCTGTGAAGGAAACACAAACATTGGTGACATCACTCTGGGAGTAAGGCTGGCATCACACTAGGGAGGCAGCCCTCCTTCACACAGCTGGCTGACATCAGGAGAACAGAGATACTGTCTAGAACTATTCATGCCCAAAATTGCTGTTTGCAGTTGAATGAACAGAACACTGCTGTAGCTTTTATCTGTTAAATATATAGAATGTTTACTCCTGATTAGATTCTAGGAAAACAGAACTTTGCATTGTTATGAAAAGTAGTAATAACTGTATATTTATGGCAATGGGATTTTATTTTTACCCAAAATAAGAAGAGCAGGAAATAATGCTGATGTTAACTTTCTCCTATTCCCCATCTTAAACCTTAGCTTCTGGAAATAATAAGGAATCTGCAGATTCACAAGCATTATTGCTTCAACAGGCCTAAGTCAGAGACAGGTCCCTTGCAAATTAAAAAGTGAAGAGAGGTTAAAAAACTCTCTAAAAATGGCTGTGGTGCTATGAAAAGAGAACACTTCTTAATGAGCAGAAGCTGAGCAGCTTTGGGTGTCACTGGTAGGACAAGAAAGGGCAATGCACAAGTCAGTGGTGAGGAGCGAGATACATCAGTGAGTGGAGTTGGGAACAGAAGGAACATAGTGGGCACACAGCACAAGGAACCTACAATTAAGATTTTCTCAAGTTATTTGTGATCTGTGTCTTAGAGGATGAAGAAATTTATCCCTAAACTGACTCTAAATGCAACTAGATTGCATTCAGTCTTCTTCACTTAAAGTCTGAAAAAAATTTAGGATTTCCATGGAAATGGGAGAAAAAAAATCACAAATTAGTGGAAGGTAGACTGTGAAATTAAGTCATGGTAAGCATCAATATCCTCTGAGCCTATTCTTACTAAGCTTCCTGGTTTTTTTTTAAATCAAAGTCTTTGACTTTAAATGGGTGCCCTGAAAGAGTTGAGAGGTGCATGCATTAGCCTTGCTACGATTCAGAGTGGTAATAGCACCTGTGTAGCTGAACAGACTCTAAGAGCCTGCATAGACAGCAATTGCTGAACAAATTAAAAATTCTATAAATGCTGTAAATCTAGTTTCAATTGCTTTAGAACTAGATTTTGTCATACACAGGAGTAATCCTGCATGAGCTGAATTAGATAATGCAGTAGATATTTTCAAGTTTTATCAAATATAACCTAATGAATTTTAGAACTTTATTCTTTCAGGCTTGTTTTCTAGTTGTGTAGTAGAGAAGGAAGTAACATTTTTTGCTAATAGATTTTTGTAATGTCACCTGTGAAAGTTACCTACTATTGTTTCCCTCTTTCCAGTCACTTGCTACATAGCTCAGACTGTAACATCTGAAACATTGAAATCTTTGCTTCTTCCATTTGTCTTTACTTCCCTTCACCTTTGAAAGGCACAAGAGGCTGTGTGCTGCCATTCATGTTTTCCTACACAGATACAGAGCAAGACTGATTTGGTGTTAAAAATCTCTTCCTCTGCCCACAATATGTATATGACTATGAAACTATTTCAACTAAATTATTTGTTGTCTCAAGAGAGGACAGTAAATCACCACACTGATACACTTGGGCCAGGTTTAAATTAATTATTTGAAAAAGATGCTTGAAATGTACAGATTCTGTTACTCTTGCTTTTTACGTGAAACTATTCTTTGATAATTTTCTCCTCTGAACAGAAAGGGATTGAAAAAATCACAAAAATCAGAGACATCATCCTAACAGGATAATGTAACCCAAATTACCACTTCACACAAAGCTATCACAGCTTACATCCAAAGAAAACAAATTTTGAGAGAGTTTAAACCTTCAGCATCCATGTCATAACACCTAATACCTGAATAAGAGGTCAAGCACTTGACTATACTATAAATGATTATATATTTCCAGGGTAAGCCAGCTGTCTCAGCCACAGGCTTTTGAAAACAAACCACACTTACAGGTCTGGCTTTCTGAAGATTCCAACAGCAGCTACTCCACAATCAAAGCTTACCTCCCAAGCTTTATCTTATCATTACCGAGCCAGTGCTGTGAGAACAGTGCGAGATGGCAAAATCACAAAAAAAAATGTTCTGCACATAGTCTGTTCCTGCTGTTTTACAAGCCTCAGAAAACTAGCACAGCAAACATCTGCTAGTGGTTCACAAAATCTACTCCTTTGTATTTGCTGTAATTTAACCAGGGAAAGCCCATAAAATGGATAGCATAACCAGCTCTATACACATCCCAAACACCGTGTTGCCTGCAGAAGATGATTAGAGCCAGCTGCTTTTGCCATTTTAAGAAAGAAGGTGGGGCAGCAGGTGCCTCCAGTTTGCACTAGGAAGAAAGAAACATGACTTTAATGAGGATTGTGTATTACTAAAAGGTAGCACCAGTCCCAGCCTACTTCTGAAAGACATGTAGATGAGGAAAAGCATTTGGTCACATTGAACAAAACCAGTAATGCACCACTTATGTTACAACGAGCTGGTAAAGTTTACAGTGTGTGTAAGTGCAGCAGAACACAAACACCACTGTGTTTCCGTGGCATGTCGATAAATGTGTTGCAGAAGCATGTTATCTGTCAAAGTGAGAAAATCAGCCTTTGACCAAAACAATTATGTGCCTTAAACTGAATGTGCCTGGAACTGATCCTGAAGGCAAAGAGACTCAAGTTTGCTTCTGAAGAGGAAGGTCCTCTGCAGGAAAATCCTCTTGTGGACTTCAGTCTTCTAACTCCAAAGCCAGAGAAGGCTGCTCTGCCATTAGCAGTGTAAGCAGGAGAAAAGGTAAGACCAAAATACTTTAGTCCACTCTGGGACTAGACATAATCAACAACATTTTAAATTGTGGTATAAAATGAATTAAAACAAGCTTGCAAACTTTTATTACTGGCTAAATTTTGAGGATTTTCTCAGTTTGTGGAGATCTTTAAGAATATTATCAATGTTTTAACAACAAGAAGAAACAGCTCCTGTTGTCCTAACTACTAGGAATGCTTATAAATAAAAGTTAAGCATCCTGTGGCCAACATCTCCCTGATGCAAGAACATTCCCCAAATCTGCAGCTGCTCCTGTCATAACAGAACACTGACATGAGAATAATGTAGCCTGGGTCTTACCTAAGCAAGTTGTCAGATGAGGTGCCCATTTGGCAGCTATCAAGCCTCAAGCAAAAGTGTGAGTGAATACTGTGCCCAGATGGTTGCATTTAAGCCCTCTCTGGCCAGTGACACCTAGATGAAGACACACCAGTGGGGACAGCATAACTGGAAATTGTTGCTGAAGAAATGGCTTTTAAAGAAAGATGTGGAAGAAGGTAATGAAAGGTGTGTGACTCAAAAGAAGTAGGAGATAGTTTCCAGCACGCAGGCAGAGTGGCATTAAAGAAGAATAATATTACAAGTATGAAATTAGTAAAATATCAGACATGTAAAACTGCTCTAAAGTGACAAGGGAAGCAAAGGGAGTGCTTAGGAGGCTGCTTTAAAGGAAGAGAGAAGGTGGTGGGAGAAGACAGAGGGGAGCTGGGTATTGGGTAAAACCTTGACAGTGAGGAGGACGAGATGCAGACTTAAAAGATTTGTGTGACTGCAAGTGATGCTGCTGGGGCAGAGAAGGAGCAAGTACTACTTGTTAGAGAAGCAGAGAATGGTGGTTGACAGCAGTACAGGTGTGGTAGTGTTCATCTCCACAGTGAACTTGATTCTGTCAAGTGTCTGAATACAGGTTTGAACACAGAATTCTCTGGTGGAATGTTAGAATTCTACACTGCCAGCTGTGATTATAAGGTGACTTTAAAGAATTTTTTAATGAGTTTTCCACTAACAAGGATTGGAAAACAGGTATGCATGAGAATACATTTAGATGTATCTATTAGTTTGCATAATTTATCTTGCCAATACAATGTGAACCACATAGAGTATTTGCAGGAGCGGAGGAAATGGATTCTCAATTTGAAGAGGAAATGTCTAACCCTGAGCACTATGGTGACAACACTATCTCTTGGCAGGAGAAGAAGATAGGAATGGGAGTGTCACATCTGCCTGCTAAACCCTGGCCTACCCTCAGCTGGGCCCTGAGCTTTTGATATGGAATTCAGTGGAAGTTTGTAAGTCTCGCTGAGGCCTCTATTGACACTGAAATACACAATCACACCTTATCAATTATAGTTAAAGGGAGGACTTATCTCAGAAATGCTGGTTACTCATCTGAAAAACTATTTGTGCTGATGTTATAGATGAGGAAGGCTAGTGTGACACAAGAGTAGTATTGTTGTAGAGTGTATGCTTCCCACAGCACAGAACGTTAATCATTATAAACTTTTGTTTTTTCTGAAGAACAACACTGAAATTGCCAAACAGTAAAATGAAGAATAATGTGTATGCTTTGCTGAAATTCAGCTTAATCTTATCAAAACCACAGTGTCATTCTTTCAGGAAAGTGTTTCACAATATTTCGCACTGTAACCAACAACTGCAGATTTATTGCAATTTTTCTTCTGAAGAGGTATTTTCAGCCTGAAACTTGATGAATTACCTGTTAAAAATTTCAGGGTCATGGGTTTTTTGTGTTGTTCTAAGTTAAATATTTTCCTTATAATTATTGCTGCAGGTTCAGTTAAACAGTGTGCTCACCTTTTACCCAGTTTACACCTTCTTTTCTCAGAAGCTGCAGAATCCTTTTCATCTCTGTTCATTTACATCAACTTGCCACAGTAGCTTTGGGCTTTTCTGCTACTAAAAATTTAAAAGGGTATCTAATGATTTTAAAAAAACACAATAATTGAAATTTATGGGATAAAACTGTGCTGGATTCAGCTGAATTATTTTTACTTATGATTTTAAGAGGGAATGCAAATATGGAATAACATGAAGCATTCATCTCATAGTGCCACTTTTAAATTCTACGGCCATTGAATAGCCATTTCCTAGTGAATATGAAGTGATTAAACATCTGTCTGAACTGTTCAGCCTGAAGCACATCGGTTCAAGGAATGGTTGAACT